CTAGGGGCAGGTGCAGTCCCTGAAGTAATATGGCCCTGGCCCTATACAGGTGTGCTGGCTGGTGCCTCCAACCCAGCCTGTAATTCGAGGAGTGGGCATTGGAGCAGCACCCCCATGGAAAAGGCGGGCCTCCTGTAGGGGGACAGCCCCGCTCCAGCCTGGCAGCTCCAGGAGTCTGGTTGGTCATGAGCATGCCAGGTTGTGTTTAACCGTGAGACCCTAGGCTTCCAGGGGTCTTGAGTGTCCTCTCTGTTCACCAGGCAGCAGAGGCACATGATCTAAGCCCAAGGAGATGGCATCTCAAAGCTCCCTTCTCTCCTGGCTAAAGAAGTCACTAGCTTCCAGGGAAAAGCCAGATAACGCAAATGTTGAAACTGAGAACTGAAGGTGGGAGCCCCAAAAACCTCCTTTGGTTGGATCATAACCTCACTGGGGAGCTGTAGGAAACTCGGCTGGACCGTGGAGGCTGAGAGTTCTGCCTTAGGACACCTCTGCAGCAGAGGCTCAGAACCTTGGCCAGAGGAGGCCGAAGTTCTGCTAAAAGCATGTGGGATAGCAGCTCAGCCAGTGTTGGTGCACACATGTGACGATAACAGGGTCCACATAATCCTGGGTAAATTGGATTCATGATGGAGAGGAAAAATAGAGTTTATAGTCTTGCCTCTCCCTGCATGAAATGCACTTTGCAAAATGTTCCCTTAGAAAGTTCTCTTTTCTACCAAAAACCTCATTTAACTGCTATGACAACTCTACAATCAGAAGGAACTGATGTGCATGGAGACTCCTAGATTCAACCACTGGTGTTTATAAGACTTTGAATATCATTTCTCTAAAACCCATTGAAAGCCTGAAAAGGTAAGTAAATGAACAGTCTAGTACAGACCTCTACAACACATCAACAATGATATTTTGAGATGTGATCTAAAGCAAATCAAGAAAATAGAGCTACAGTATAAAACATATCTGGACCTGGGCTATTTGTAATCATTGCGCTAACAGAAATCCGGCAAAGGCCAATTGGCTTATACTGATTTTGAAAAACATTTTCTGTATTAAAATGGTACAAATACAAATTAGTTTTCTTTGTTCAATATTTATTGCTTCATTTGCCCTACGATGAGTCAAAGTCCTTGTGTATCACTTGTCTTGTCAGATTAGCTCATCTATGCGTTTTATTTTATTTATAAAGTCAAATAAAAAGGACTGGGTCTACACAAGAGTGTGATGGAAAAGACTCTCCATTTCAGTATCTATGAGGAACTGTTGCTTAATTGAACCTGTCACTGACTAGACACAGAAAGCCAGTGTCCTATCAGACAGACATGAAAGACAGGCATGTAAATAGGTGTAACAGAAGCAAATGCTCATTGGTGACTTTTGGTAATGGAATAACAGCAATCACAGAGAGACTCCCCATTCTTTAGTTAATGCAACACGAGGCTAATCTTCTGAAGTGAAGCCTTCTGCATGTGAAAACTACAATAAATATTAATCTTGTAATGTATGCATAATTAAATCCTCTTCAAGAGGCAAAAATAATTTTTATTTTGAAATTACAATACAGCTTCTGATTGTGACTTTATCAAACGTGCATGGGCTGCGGCTGCAGCTCAGTGGTAGGGCACTTGCCCAGCATTCGAGGGCCTGGGTTCCATCCCCAGCACTGTGGCCCACGACATTCCAGAAAATATGTCTGTGCCTCAAACACATAAAATGGGCACTTCCCTGGGGGGATGTGGTGTTTTGTTTTCTTGTCCTTCTTAACTCTTTTCCATTGAAAATCTCTTTCCAAGCCAGAAAAGAAAATCATATTTTTTAAAAAGGGAGTGCAAAGGACACAGTCTTGCTGCTGAACTCCCGAAACTGAACTGCAGAGATACTCTCCAAGCAAAGGAAACAGCTGGGATGGTAGCTTGGTGATGGTACATTTCCCCAGCATGCCCGGGGCCCTGGCTTCCAACCCAGGTGAGCTGGGGACACCATCCTATCCAATCATGGAGGAACCAGGAGAAACAGAGCCAGAAGGACCCATGATCCTGCACAACAGCTGGGGAGTGGGGGTGTCCCATCCAAGGCAGAAGTAGGTCAAGCATAGGAACCATGGGCAGGAAAAGCCAGAGAACTTTTGCTTTCCCAGCAGTAACATCTCTGGGGGCGACACTCAGAACCACTGCTGACGGAGTGCTCAGAAGCATCCGCCCTCCTCAGCTACCTGGCCCAGGAGAAGTGGTGCTCCCACCTCCCACCTCCCACCTGCCGGAGCCCAGGTCACACAACAGGTCAGCTCCAGATCTGTTCTCCAGAGTCCAGGAGCTTGCCCCTTGCTGCTGGGTTCCCTTGAAGCTTCTCAGTCCCCGGGACATTCATACACGGCAGGGGGTGAAAGAAACATGTGCCCTCCTTCAAGAACTCTTTGAGGAAAGGCGATCGCAAGTTTTTAACACAAGTTTTTGGAGTGATCAGCTTCTAAGATGCCATTGATCCCTGGAGGGCCTCGCGTGGAGCCCTGTGTAGAGGGCAGCCCACCCGGAGGTAGCCAGGAGATGACACCCACCAGGTGGGCAATTTCAGGTGTCCTCGGTGGTCGGGACCACAGCAAGAGTGGGCAGTAGCTCAGACACTATCCAGGCAACGTTTAGAGGCAGCAACACACAGAGCAGTGGCCATGCTGGGAGAAGAGGAGTACCAAGCACAGAGACAGCAAGCACTCGCTGCATACATCAGTACTAGTTAATAGGCAGCTGGCCCAGGTTAGGTCAGTGTGGACGCCCACGGAGACGTTTGGGCTCACCTGTGACATGAACCATATGTGTGACAGTCCCTGAGATCTGCCTCACTGTCTGCATTCTAGTTTCCAAAAGAATCTTGATGAGTTTAGGTACAGGCTGAAAGTAAAATGGCACTTGAGCTACTGCCCACCAGGACGACTTGGAGGACAGAGATCTTGGTTACAAGGCAAGGAAGAGAATTAAGCCCCAGAGGTGGTGACTCAAAAGTTTTCAAATGACCACACACATCACTAAAAAGGTGACAGCACCAGGAAGCTCAGCTGCATGCTGAGCGCAGCCAACTGCACCCCGGGGCCACCCTGCCGTCACCGTGCCTATTACAATGCCATGCTTTCTCAAACACAAGGGTTTTACAAGGAGTGCATAAATAAATTCTGGGATTTAATGTCCTCTTAGAATAATTATTGGTCAGAGTGTGACCACAGGCATGAGGGTCTCGAGACCCAGGGAGACATGTCAAAACATCATCTCTGCTTCTGCAGGGGCAAGAGGTGCCGCTGAGCTAGATATCAATTTCTAGTTTGTTTTTGGTGAAATGTTTATATTTTTTTAAAGATTTAAAAAAAAATTTCCTATTAGTTATTCATGACAGTAGAATGCATTTTGATCCATCACACATAAGTGAAATATAACTTGTCATTCCTCTGATTGTACATGATGTAGAATCACACCAGTTGTGTGATCATAGATGTACACAGGGCAAGAATTTCTGATTCATACTACTACCCTTCCTACCCCCAGAGCCCCTCTCCTCCCTTCACTCCCCTCTACCTAATCCAAAGTACCCCGACCCCCCCGACTTCGAATTGTGAATTAGCATCTTCGTATCAGAGAAAACAGTCAGCCTTTGGTTTTAGGGGATTGGCTTATTTCACTTAGCATGATGTTCTCCAGCTCCATTCATTTACCTTCAAATGCCATAATTTCATTCTTCTTTAAGGCTGAATAATATTCCATTGTGCATATATACCAGTTTCTTTTTTTAAATATTTTTTTTTCAGTTGTAGATGAACACAATGCCTTTTATTTTATTTATTTATTTTTATTTGGTGCTGAGGATCACACCCAGTCTTCACATGTGCTAGGCAAGTGTTCTATCACTGAGCCACAAAGCCAGACTGATACCATAGTTTCTTTGTCCATTCATCTGTTGAATGGCATCTAGATAGGTTCTATAGTTTGGCTATTATGAATTGAGCTGCTATAAACATTGTTGTGGCTGCATCACTGTTGTATGCTGATTGTAAGTCCTTTAGGTATT